CGCCAAGAAGTTCTACAAGAAGCCACACATCGTCCTGTCAACGGCAGCTCCGGTGGTACGAACGAGACAACATCCCAAAAAAGGCATACCAAGGAGCAACGATTTTTATGTCCAATGGGACAGCGATGGGAACATTTGCCACGATACGAGGTTTCCAAGAAATAGATTGTCTACCCAGCCTGGAGTCACACGCACCCAAACTTCCGTAGATAGCAAATGTGATTTAATCGGCTTATGAAACATCCGATATTATAGTAAGCAGCGAATTACCTGATATTTTAGAGGCACATCACGAAACTGCACTAACCAAAAATATAGAAGCGAGGTAAAATACTCTAAGCATGCACTACGTGCTCCAAACCGCCCAATATGATGAACTTTTGTCTCCGAAGTAATTAATCCATTATTAACACAGAAGCACGTTGACTTAAGGAAAGCTGAAACCGTATAAAGCAAGTTTCTGAAATCTAATCATTCTGGGAGGATTGCAATTTAATGCTCTACAACTTTTTAATGCACTATAATACCAAAATATTCTTAGTTCACAAGATATAAGAGAGAAACTGAGAAAAGTCCGAAAATTTTGGGATTTGTGGCCCCCCTTCCAGTTAGCACACGGTCAACGAGGTTGAAAACTTGGGATAGGCATCCTGGTGTGCACTTTAGAATATCTCTAGATAAAATGTGATATCGACTGGACTAATAGTGTACTTTGACAATTCGACGATAAGTTCAAATCAAATGAACTTTAAATAGCCTTGTCATTTGTCCACAGTAAGTTCACCAATATAAGAGAAAGTAAGTAATTTTCGTTAGTACTCTAAAGAATTTAGGCCACTTTTTTTAAAATTAAAGTAATTCGTTAATAACTTTATTAATGGACATTGTAGTGCTTCTTTTAAAAAATTCATTTACGATTTTGACATAATTTTGTTCACATGATCAAACCTTTCAGTATTTAGAAGTGTTTATGCAGTTATTTTTTTTATTCAGTCCCTAAACTCACCAAATGTTGATGAAGTATTTCCTGTCTTGTGTGACAGTTCTGTGTTGCACACTCGTTGTGACCAATGCGAGCCTGGAAATCAAGATAGAACAGGGAGTACTGAAGGGATGGTTTGATATAACTAGGAAAGGCAGAATTTTCCGTTCGTTTACGGGAATTCCATTCGCGGAGCCGCCATTGGAAGCGCTTCGTTTTAAGGTACTTTCTAGTGCCGTTTAAAATTATTTGTCATGCTGTAATCTTGTAGCCACCAGTTCCAGCTAAGCCATGGCAGGGTGTTCTGGATGCCACAAGAAGTCATGCCAGTTGCCCACAAGTAAACGTATACATTGGCGACTTCACCATAAAGGGAGACGAAGACTGTCTATACCTAAACGTATATGCACCAGAGGTAAAAACAAACAGTTTACGACAAACATTTCTTATTCGTTCTATAGAATGCCAAAGATCACCCCCTTCCAGTGATGTTCTTTATTCATGGAGGAGGCTGGATGTGCGGCACCTCAGATTCAGAGCTCTATGGAGCACAAACACTATTAGACCAAGAGGTCGTGTTGGTTACAACTAATTACAGGTTAGGTAAGTGAACAATCTGCAATTGCGTGACTGCGTAAAACTAAGATCGTAGGTGCACTGGGTTTTATGAGTACCGGTGATTTAGTTCTACCCGGCAACAATGGATTGAAGGATCAAAATTTGGCCTTAAAATGGGCGAAAAATAATATTAGACAATTTGGGGGCAATCCCGACAAAATCACGATCTTTGGGCAATCGGCCGGCGCAGCCAGCACCCACTTTCACACTTTATCACCACTTAGCCGAGGTAAGCACCTGTGCGTTTGTGATGCTTTGCAATAGAATCTTTTAGATTTGATATCGGGCGCTATTATTCAAAGTGGAAGTGCCCTTGCACCTTGGGCAATCAGCTTGAAACCACTTGATTATGCAAAAAGGTTGGCGGGCTATGTAAACTGTCCAAATCATTCTAGTGAGGCAATAGTAGAATGCATGAGGACTGTAGATCCATACGAAATCGTCCAGAAAGAGCAACGGCTGTTGGTAATTAAATTACTAACTCTAGATTTTGCATACACCTAGTAATTGTAGGAATACGGCTATGACCCCATGATTCCCTTTAAACCGGTAGTGGAACCGTCTCATGAAGGTGCGTTTCTCACTGAGGAGCCAGCTGTAATTATTAGATCGAGGAAAAGTGCTCGGGTGCCCCTAATGACTGGTTTCACAACAGAAGACGGTGCAATTAAATCTTCTGGTATATAACCGAACCGTATTTGATCACGATTTTACAGTGTACTTGTAGCATTATTTAAAGACGAGAAATTGATTGAAGAACTGAATTCAGATTTTAACAGAATCGCACCATTGATTTTTGTATATGACCAAGCCACGTACAATACAACCGGGCTTTCTGAAAAGATCCGAAAGTTTTATCTTGGTGACAGACCAATTGACGAATCCTCCAAGGCACCATTGACTAATGTACGTCAGTCACCGCACCTGTTAAAAACTAATACTCATTTTCAGGCCTTTACCGATACATGGTTTTATGTTGCAACAGACTCAGTAATAAGAATGCACACTAACTACTGCAATAATCCAGTTTATTTTTACCTATTTGGATACCAAGGGGGTGCAACCTTTACTACAGTATTTAAGCATCCTGAAGACCAATATAACTATGGCAAGTTTTAGATTTCTTTTTCATTGTTTCATTGTTTCTAAGCGAACGGTTTTTACAGGTTCTTGCCATTGCGACGAACTAATTTACTTATTTCGCCAAGGATATGTGGCTAAACCAAGAGAAGAAAGTGAAGAAGATAAGCGCATGACGGATGTAATAGTCGCACTGTGGACTAATTTTGCAAGAACAGGGTAAGAGTTCTTGTTACAAAATGTAATGCACATCTGCAACTTTTAGCAATCCAACACCTCCTAATGATAAGTTATTGACAATAAAATGGAATCCTGTTAGTAGCAAAAAACACGAGTACTATCTCATAGATAAACATGGCCGTATGAGTATGGGGGAAAATTGGGAGCCCGGAAGGTTGAGCTTTGCAAGGAAAATTAAGTTTAATTCCAGGTGGAACGAAGTCAGAGATGAGTTATAGGGAAGATTAAAGTTCTTAATGAAATAGTACGTTGACAAATAGTAGCTATTTTGATTCTTTAATATCACACCTTCTGGCCGGTTAAATATCCCAACTTCTTAGCGCATTTTTGAAACAAAAATACGCTATTGACTGGCTGGAAGTCCTGCAGAACTCATGCCTTAATTTTATTTTTAATGTTCCACTTCTGAGTGGCATTTTTTAATGGTAGCATACAAAGGAATTGGGTTCAGGGTGTTGATGTTCACATGTAATATTCTTCCTGGAATTTCCGTCGTCTTCCCTTGTTTGAAGTGCGTTTGGTAACCTACCTTTTCGTACTTTTGCTTGCCAGCTAGCTCACATAACACTGGGTTATAAATAGCACAGATTTCAGTCGATTTCTTTTTCACTTATAAATAATTTCATCATAAATAATTTGTAACAAAAATGTGGAAAGAAATATTATTAGTTCAAAATTGACATGCTAATTCCAAAAAAAGCTCATTAACACTGAATTACGTTTATGACGCTTAAACAATGAGTCAAAAAAACAAATCCTTACACCCTCTTTGAAAAGACAAAAAACCTACTCCTAATTAAGTTTCAAAATATCCCCATCAAATAAAAATCTGAATAATACATATGCTTAATAATTCTATACCTAAACAAATTCAAATTCAATACATACGAAGTATATCTTCCCATTTTAGTTTTTCAAACAATACACACTCTAACTAAAATTATGGAGATTATAAAGAAATCGTATCTTTATCGGGAGTAAATACACAAGAGCTTGATTTTTAATCGTATGATTTTATTTTTACACGAAAGTTTTGTTGCAACGGAAAAAGAGGAACGATTTTATCATGTGCTTTTGATCGAGAGTTTTTTCCAGGAAGCAACAAAATTTGAGTGAATTAAAAATAAAATTATCCTGATGTAAAACCAGGATCGAGTGTAATTTAAGAGGATTAATAAAAGACAGTAAATTTTACAACCACTACATATTTTACGCATTCATACGCGCATTTGTATCGCTGGCAAAAAGCTACAGAACGTTTAATCGCCGATAAAAAGCTGCCTACCTTTTAATCAGATAAAAAATCATTTGATTGGTTAGAATATGAAACAATCACCAAGCTGATTGGTTATATATTAATGGAGTGTATTAATCACTGATAAAATTCGTTAATCTCAGCTTATTGCTGTTGTACTCCTTTCAGAACAAGCTCACGTAATTGGCTTATGTAATAGGGCTTTTGTACTGCAACCCCAAAATAATTTCGATCTTTGTTTCGATTTCAACCCGAACCACGGGCTCTTAAAAAATACAGTAGAATAGAAACTCCATCCTCGGTAATTTTGATCCTTTTTGATGATTTCTGCCACTAAAAATGCAAAGTCAAGAAATCCGAATTTTGGAGAAGTAGTATACGGAAAATCAAGTATGCAATACGAAAGCTTTTAATTAATTATTCCTTTACACGATATCGGAAAAATATGGGAAATATATCAGACTTCACGTTCTTTAAGCGCGCTTCTTTCTAGATAACTTTGAACGCCGTCTGTCGGTTTTTTCTACAACTGCTTAAGTGCTTACCCAGCGGTAATCCAAACCAAGCAGCCTAGGCCTAATCCAGTGAATAGAGGGGGTTATTTTAAAAAGGGTCCGGTAGCGTTATATTTTAATATGTTGTCTAGGATAGTTATTAAGTGTTTAAAATGCAAAATGCACAATTCCCCTCGTTCTGCGCCCGCCGCCATATTGAACAATCCGAAAAATCAGAACTTTCGTCAGATTTTTGCTTTTACCTTCGTTTCAGTGCACTTGAGCTGCAAAAGAGTTCTACTCAATATTGTAGAGAATTAGATTTCCTATAATTTACTTTTTTTAAATTTTCTCTCTAGGACTGATAGTTACGGATAATGGCATCAAAAGCAGAGATGTCAGATTACTATATATGCTTTATCTGGAATAATGATCTGCTAGGAGCCTCTATAAGTGCAGTGACACGTAAAGAGACTCAGATTTTACGTAAATCCGCTAAAAAAAAGGGCAAAAAGAGACCAAATCTTAACGGGGAGAGAGGAAATAGCACATATCAAAAAAATATTGCAATGAGGCTATGATTTTTTTTAATTTTCTTGAAAAGTGCATAATGTCCTACAAAGAAAATTTAGAAACGTCAATTACAGCAAATTTAATTCTTTACAACATTGAGTAGAACTCTTCTGTAGGTAAAATGCACCGAAACGAAGATATAAGTGAAAATCTAAAAAAAGTTTTGATTTTTCGGTTTAAATTAATGAATAATAAATACAAACGTCGCTTTCATATAAATTCATATACCTATTGCTTTGATAATGGCCATTAAAATTATATGGCCGAAACATATAAATATATGTAAGCCAACAACAAGATTAAAAATAAATTTGGGAAAGACAACGATTTCTTAATTATACATCCCAAATATAAGAATATGGATCATCCACTTCATTATAATTCTAATATAATATTTAAATAAAATCAATTAATACTATAAAAAAAATTCTAATCCGCTAGCGTATTTTTTTTTAAATTTTCATTAGATTTTATGAATATTTTGTTAGCATTGTATTGTATTGATAGTATGTCCCCTTCTTGTTGCACCCTATCTTCTTTCATAATATTGTTCGCTTTTTCCGTTCTATTCTTCTTTCTAGTGTTCTTTCCTTTTTTTCTTTTTTCCTCTTAGTGTTTACTCGGCTCCTCCGTTCTCGATTTCGTCATCCTCTCTCTATCATTTATTTATTTATCATCACCGGCTTTGTTTCTTTCTCTACTTCTCCAACTCAACTCCTCTTCTTCTCCATTATTTACAATTGCTGTTTTCTTTCTTCTCTTTCTCCTTTGTCCCTTCTCGTTGCTTCTTCCTTTCACTTTTTCGTGATTCTCTTTCACATCCTACTCCCCTTGTTCCATCTTTTCTTCCACTTCCTTTCGCACCTCATCTAACTTTTGCTACTCCTTTTTTCCCGCCCCTACGCTTTCTCGTGTATACTTCCCCTGCTTCCCTTCTTCTTTCTTTTTTACTTTTTAAACCTACCAACATATATTTTCTTCTACCCCTTCTCTTCCTCTCTTTAACCCCTACTAGTCTTCTCCAACTCCACCCTCTCCGCGTTTTGTACTTTTCTTATATCTTCCTTTGAAGCTTCTTCCATTCTTAGCTCCCCCCCCCCCCCTATTTAATCATAATTCTGCCTCGCTATCTTTTTTGGCCTTCTTCTCCTTTATCCACTTTTCTCTTTCGTTTAGTGTGATTCTTGTGTTTCCATAAAATTGTTTGCATAAATAAATTTCTATTCTTAGTTTTTTTATTATTATAACTTCAGTTACCCACCTGTTGCTTGGTGTATATTTTCAACTGAAAATTGTAATTTTAAATAAAGGCGCACCAACACCTTTGTGCGAATGATAGAAGTTCTCTGTAATGGGCTACAGTTTCCCAAAACTATGACACAAGATTTAGCATGTGAGATAATCAGAATTGAATTTCACAAAGTGTATCTTAAGGCAAAGTGCACGGTGTAATTCTATATCAACACATTCGGTTAGAGAATCCTCATAAAAATAATCTTATTTCTTATTATCGATGACAAACCGTCACCAAGACTTCCCAAGTCATTACACGGCTAACGCGTTATAGAATTCAATTACGTAGAAAAACTGGTCGCTAAATTTAATCAGAAACTACAAACCTTTGCTTCCTTTTCCTATTTAGTATTAATTTCGTCATACTGTTATACTCTTCATCATTAAGTTCATGTTCATTTTTAAGTTACAATCTCTCTAATTCCCTTCTTATTGAAGTTGCAGCTTCTTTAATATGGCACGATACTTATTTTCCTTTTAAAATAATAACATCGACAAAACGATTTTAGATGTTTTTTTTTATTCTAATTAGAAAAAAAAAGATATGGTCTATTGTAGCTTGTATATTAGATATAGATGTACTTTTGGTACTTGTAGCTACAAAAAATGGTATTGCACATTCAAGATTAAAAAATATCAAACATATTATTGTTATCAATCAAAGGTTAACTAAGAACTTGACAAACTAAATTTACGATAACATTAAAGAAAATATTTGTACTGAGCACTATGAAATATCCTCGATTCTCCTTGAAACCTAATTTATTCCTCTCTTATCGGGCACGTGTACCCCATTTTGTGCTAAAAAGTTTGTTCAGTACGCGTTGTTGAATTTTATAATTTTTAGGAGATTTAAATAACGGTCCACAGGGATCCATAGCCTTATCGTTTTGTCCGAAACCAATTTTGTAACTATCTACCGTAAAAATGACTATAGTATCTTAGTACCGCACTAATCTATAGTTGCTCCCAAGATGATTCATTCGGTGCTCGATCCTGTGAGCAATATTTTTGATACTAAAGTCTGAGATAAACTATCAAAATACTATACTTATTCAATTCACCAATTATTTCTTCATAATTCCACATTTTGATTTCGTTTCTTATTCATTAATTTTTCCCAAAAGGCGATTCTGTCCATAAACACATTATCCACCATCCGGGTTTCCACGTTATTGTCGATGAAGTATAAATTGGAGTTCTCCAAAGTCGTGGGTTGCCAAATGGGTAACTCGGAATCTGGGGTCGGGTTCCTAAAAACAGTGTACAATTGACTTACCCACAACAATGCGATCAGATTTACCCAGTTCGTGCGAAATTTTCCCAAAGTTTGGTAGTGGTTTTAACAGCACGTATATCAAGCTCGCTCTTGTGGTAAATTCCATAACGCGTTGTGGTGAAAAAGTTAAGTAGCTCATCGCAATGCGCAACACCTGTCAGAATTGCAGAATTACAAAGTGATCAGGAACATTGCACTATGTTATACCATAATTGTGTTTGTCATTCCCATATTTATCTGCGTACGTTCTGGGTGCACGGTACCCATACAATAACTGGAAAACATTTTCTTTTAAAAACCGAGCGTGCATCTGAGCCGTTGCGTACATGGGGTAGAAAAACCACCAATCCGTAAACATCTAAGAATGTACGTTAGCGTTAATGTTTTGTTAAACCGGTTACCTTGGTAATTTCCGACGTGTGCTTTGACCCAATTTCTTGACCATGTACGTAGAACGACCGAATCTTATTCGTCCACGTGAGATCATCGTAGATTAGTGCTAATGGCGCATTCTTTTCAAAATTCTTAGTAAATTGATCAAAAATCTCGCTGTGGTTAAACAAACCTAAAATTACAAATAGGGTAACTCCGTACATGTTTGTTTGTGAATTCACCTCCTGACATTAATAACCCATCTTCGGTTGTTACACTGAGCATGATGGGAACTTTTGCTGCCTTACCCGATGCGATTATGTTTGCAGGGTGATCTGGCAAAAATGAATTTTTGATATTGTGTTCAATGACAGGTCGAAATGGTATTGAAGAATGTTTATGCCACTCCTGAAACTAGAATGTGACTTATGCATGTATTTACACGCACTCACATAAAGTTTTTGAGATGCTTTCGTTATTTCCATTGCAGATGGTGTCTTAAGACACTCTATCATAAGTCTACTGTCAGATAATGCACAATCAAACCGTTCCGCTAAAGTCAATGATTTGTTCCTCGCTCTCTCTTTAGAAGACAACGCCCACGGCGAAAAAGCGGTGCCACTTTGAAGAATGGCCCCGCTAATTAAATCTAAAACAAACTGAAACGTGATACGCTTCCTACGGCCAGAAACAAACCCCTGGTTAGCGGTGACACTGTTTGGAAGTGCGTGCTTGCTCCGCCTGCTGAATTTCCAAAAACGGTGATACGATTAGGATCTCCACCAAAAGCTATGATGTTCTCTTTTACCCACTTTAAAGCTAAAACTTGGTCTTTTAGGCCATTGTTTCCCGGCACTACATCATCTCCCATGCTAATAAACCCAAGTGGACCTAATAGGAACGAATTGTCATCTGTATTGTTCTGAAGTTACAATTTACCTAATCTATAATTATACGTAACCAGAACCAAGTCTTGATCCAAGAGAAACCCTGGTCCGTGCCATTCATCATTGCCGCTTCCAAGCATCCAGCCTCCTCCATGATTATAAAACATTACGGGTACTAGACGCTCGCCACCCAGTAGTCTCTGTACACAATAATGAATTTCTTTGAGACAGGTAGTAAATTACCTGAGGTGTGTAAACGTTCAGATAAAGACAGTCCTCGTTCCCCGGCACTTCCGAAATGTTCAGTAATAATAAGTCTTGAAGACAAATCGATCCGTATTTGGTCGCGTCCAGTACATCTTCCCACGGTTCTGCTGGTACCGGTGCCTAAATTAAAAATCTAGGTAACACGATCAGAAAATGAAGTCATCGCACCTCAAATCTTAGTTCTCCAATTGGTGGTTTGGCGTAGGGAATTCCAGTAAATGAGGTAAAATTTTTACCGGTCCATGTCTGTGTTAAAACACCTCTAATCCGTCCTTGTGACACTTTAATTTCTAACGTATTATCGGCGTTTGCCAAAAAAATGTAGATGAAGGACGTGATCTGTAATACGACCAGATACATTTTTATGCTAACTGTAATTTTATCATTCGGTGATTAGTAAAATCAGTGTACTAGAGTACTAATTTTACAGCATTTTTTGGGCGGTAATGAGTTACAATTACAAAGTTATCAGTGGCAGGGGTCGGAAATTGAGACAATTTTTAAGTTCACGATCCTTGTCTAAATAATTGTATAATGCAATCACTAAAAGCCCGAAACCCACTAGCAACACCCCACACCACGCCACGCTACACGACACTACGCAACAAATGTGTGTGCAGAAGATAATCATTACTTTACATGTAACGTGTACACCCTCGTTCCACGCGACGCGACGCCACGCGACACCACGCGAGAGGACGTGTACTGGGTCTGGATGTCCAGACTTGCTCGACGCGTATACAAGCGTGTTGATCCGTTCCCCTTACGTCCGAGTTCCCGCAACAGTCACCAGTTGTGTTTGTGTACATTTGCTGCAAGACATTTGCAGTGATTTAACGACAATGCAAGATCAGTTCCAACTCCTTTATCAGAGAGTGAAACGCACCGTATTTTGGACGCTGTTTATTTACATCGTGAACCCAAAACCGCCTCCTGTTTTTTTTAATGCAACTACTGCAGCAGCACATTCCTCCAACTCTTCTTCCCATTCGTCAGACGAAGAACCACTAACGCACTCCATCATGTCCGCACTTGACGGTAGATAGACAGATACTACAAAATGTTAAATGTACACGGTGGTTTTGTGGCGTAGCGTGGTAAATATGTGTACACAGAATAAACACGTCTGTTGACGTCGAGTGGCGTCGTGTAGCGTGGCGTGGCGTGGGGTGTTGCTAATGGGTTTCGAGCTTAAATTGAGTCGTGTTGGTACTCGTTGGAAAGCTCACGAAATGGGCTTTCCGATGGTGTGCAACTGATTGCAGCACGTAGATATATGGAGGTAGCACAGCATTTTAAACAGGTACAACGTACGTCGCACACAGATTCCGCATTTTCAGAAATTTTGTTTGTAGCACTCAAATTATGGAAAAAAATTCGACTTTTTAGCTGTATACAGGGCGTTCCAAATAAAAGTAACTACATCGATTCGTTAACGCCATTCGATTGGCTGTAGTCGTTTGTTGCTCCCGATGAAAATTTAAAATTTTTAAATATTGTGTTTTTCAACAAATTGAAACACTTATGCTAGCTAACAGTTATCGCGATAGCCGTCAGCTAGCTTGGCCGTGACCTAAAGTACCTGATATCTATGATCTAACGGATAGTAGCCAGTTAGCGTCGTCGTATACAAACGTAAAACGTATTAGTTTCGTTACATATACAGGGTGTTACATATATGTATATAAAAAAAATTGGTGGTAGAGGGGATCAATACAAGCACTTTTTCCAAATAAATCGAGGGTC